AAAAGAGGAGCGACAGGGGAGTGGAGTTTGCAGGAGACAATTAGTTCGCTTCATTAGTTTGGGACTCTCCAAGATTCCTTGCCAAGTTCTGCAGAGATCGCCCTGGCAGCTCTCCAAGCCAGATAAGGTCTGTGACTGTAAATCCTCCTTTGAAAGACTTTGCTGGATGTGAATGAGCAGAATTCACAGTCAATTAGCAATAGCAATAGCAGTTAGACTTATATACCGCTTCATAGGGCTTCCAGCCCTCTCTAAGCGGTTTACAGAGTCAGCATATCGCTCCCCACAGTCTGGGTCCTCATTCCACCCACCTCGGAAGGATGGAAGGCTGAGTCAACCCTGAGCCGGTGAGATTTGAACCGCCGAACTGCAGATAACAGTCAGCTGAAGTGGCTGCAGTACAGCACTCTAACCACTGCGCCACCCTTTAATAAAAGGGTTTTTTGTTGGGACAAGAAGTTTGCTTCCTGCTCTCAGGAAGCCTCGGTTAGAACATGCATCTACAGCCCCTTTACGATCTGTGGACTTCAACTCCCAGAATCCCTGAGCCAGCACCGTCTAAACCCTCCTCCCGTTTTCCCCTGCCGCAACAACCTTGCAAGGTGGACCGGGTTGAAAAGGGAGCAGAGAGCTTTCTTTCCTAGTCTTTGTGCCATTCTTTTACTTCAATACCACTCAAGCTGGGTCTGTGAACTCAAAACTCCCATCTTTTCTCGCCTGGCTGGCCAGGGGCCAAGGATAATGGAAATTGAATGGCTAAGAATTTATATTGTCCTATTGCCAGGAGACGAGAGGTGGCTCAGCAGCTAAGACGTTGACCTCATGAAAAGTCAGCAGTTTGGCGGTTCGAATCCCTAGCGCCCCGTAACGGAGGGAGCTCCCGTGACTTGTCCCCAGCTTCTGCCACCCTAGCAATTCGAAAGCACATAAAAAATGCAAGTAGAAAAATAGGCACCACCTTCGATGGGAAAGGAACAGCGTTCCGTGCGCCTTCGGGAGTTGAGTCATGCTGGCCACATGACCACGGAGACGTCTTCGGACAGTGCTGGCTCTTCGGCTTTGAAACGGAGAGGAGCACCGCCCCCTAGAGTCGGGAACGACTAGCACATACGTGCGAGGGGAACCTTTACCTTATTGCAATTCTTGCGACCATTCTCTCCCTTTTTAAAGCTGAAGGATTCGAGCCCAGGTGGAGATTAGAATAAAATGGGGTTTGCTGGAATTTGCCAACGGAATCTCCTCCCCAATTTTCTGCTTTTTTTTATAACGCGGGACCGACGTTTCAAATCCCTTTATTGATTTATTTTCCACCCTTCCTTTCCTTTCGAGCCAAAGGACCCTGTTCTTAGTTCAAAGCCTCCACCAGCCGGCGGGCACACAAACACACCCCCCCCCAAAAAACCTGTCTTTTGCTTTTCATTTTGAAACCCCTTTTAAGGCGTGTCTTTTGCTTAACGGAACGAAAGGGGGGAAGCTGAGCACGGTTGGGGAGAGCTGTGTGTGTGTGTGTGTGTGTGTGTGTGTGTGTGTGTGTTGTTTGCTGGCTTCAAGGTGGAGGATGCCTCCCCTCTCTCTGTTTTTTTTTCCTTGATGTTTACAGCGACTTCGTACACGGCTGCCGACATCCAGCGGGCGCTTTTGAAGCAGATCAAAAGCTCAAAGAAGAAAACTATCTTGGTGAAGAGACCTCAGCAAGAGAATATCAAGTTCATGGACTTTGGTACCTTCGTTTCTTTCCTCCTTTCCCTTTTTTTACTCTTTCTCCTTCCTTCCTTTTGCTCCAATCATCCTTTTGACTTCCCCTCTGCCCCTCTATGCCTGCATCCCTCTCTCCTTCCTTCCTCCCTTCCCTTCCTTCCTGTCCTTCCTTCCTCCTTTCCCCTCCCTTCCTCCCCAACTCTCTTCCTCCCTCCTTCCCCATTTTAATCCCTTCCTTTCTTCCTCCCTTCCCCTTTCTTCCTTTCTCCCCATTTCCATCTCTCTCCTTCCTCCTTCCCTCCCTCCTACCCATTTCTTCCTCCTTTCCCCTTTTTTCCCTTCCTTCCCAAATCCCTCCCTTCCCCTTCTTTCCTTCCTCCCCATTTCCATCTCTCTCCTTCCTTCCTTTCATTCCATTCCTCCTTCAGACCTTCCCTCTGTTCCTATTTCCATCTCCTTCCTTCCTTCTCTTTTTCTTTCCACCACACTCCAGGGGAAGGATACTGCAAAATCCCCATCCCACTCCAGGGGAAGGATACTGTAAAATCCCCATTCCCATCCCACTCTAGGGAAAGGATACTGAAAAATCCCCATTCCTTCTCCACTCCAGGGGAAGGATACTATAAAATCTCCATCCCACTCCAGGGCAAGGATACTGTAAAATCCCCATTCCCATCCCACTCTAGGGCAAGGATACTGCAAAATCCCCATTCCTTCTCTACTCCAGGGGAAGGATACTGTAAAATCCCCATTCCCATCCCACTCTAGGGAAAGGATACTGAAAAATCCCCATTCCTTCTCCACTCCAGGGGAAGGATACTGTAAAATCTCCATCCCACTCCAGGGCAAGGATACTGTAAAATCCCCATTCCCATCCCACTCTAGGGAAAGGATACTGAAAAATCCCCATTCCTTCTCCACT